TTGCCGAATATGTTCCAAAGAGTGCTTCTCGATACAGGTACAAGTCTCGCGATGAGTTTTGCGCCGATGTCAGACAGATGTTCATCAACTGCGAGGTATTCAACGAGGATGACAGCCCCGTGGGGAAGGCTGGACACGGAATGCGCAGTTTCTTTGAAATGCGTTGGACCGAGATTACTGGCGCACCACCTCCACACCCACAAACGCATAGCTGAGGCTCGGTTCGTTCTCGCAACACCTGCAACAGTTTTGCCCACTTCTACTACTAGAGGATAGACCTCTCGGTCACAGAGTATCATTCGGGATCGTCCAAAAAATATTAATGGCGAGTCCTGTCTTCTCCGTGCTTCGTCGGCCTCGTTCTAGCGGTCGACCGAACAACTTTAATTCTAATATATACATATAGAAAGAGAGAGAGAGAGAGAGAGAGAGAGGGAGAAAACAAAGTAATAAAAAGTCCACGGATGCGGGTTTATCTTCGTAGGCGTCGCGTTACGCGCGTGTTACACATTCGTCTCTCCTAATCTTAATCGTGCTCGTTACTCGCCCGTAATCGACGCTCGCGTGGCTGCTTCTCTCATTCTAATCACACATATACTTTAATACTCCAACTAATCTAATGGTGGCGAACGTGTTTAACGGCTCGTACTTCTTCTTTCTGTAGCATCAACGACGAACTTGACAAAAAAAGAAAAAAAAAAAAAAGAAAAAAAAAGGAAAACATACCGCGGTGTTACAAGAATTCTGTATTCGTCGAGACGTCCTGTTGTTGGATGAAACTCAAGTTGCGTTTAACGAACAAGCTAAGGATTGTAAGTAGGGTAAATGAGAGAAGCTTTATCGTGACCGGAAGCCGTGACACAGAGATTTTACGATATATATTACATTTTGTGATTCGGAGCTTCTTAAGTTCGACGCGACTAAACACCCATACATCATGGGGACGCATCTACTCGTTCGAAGCCTCCAACCTTCCCCCCTCCCCGAATGGAAACGAAACACAATGCAGATGGTCACTGTACTTACCGAGTAAAAACACAAGTAAATTTTTGCCTAAGCGAACAAGAATGTAATTTGCGATTGTATTATACAGGCTTAGTGCCGACGTGTCGGCAAAAGAAATATTTTGCAAATTAATGAATGTGAAAAGAAGAGGTATAAATATATATAAATATAAATATAAATTTAAATGTATAAATATGAATATAGTGTATATGTATACTATATAGATAGTCACGTCACATGAAACATACAACACACACATAACACCTTTGCCCACGAAAACATCAGCACGATAAGGGTAACATTTGCTGTACAGTAAGATATACAACAGAATGACGAACAAAGTCAATCTTCCAATTGAGGACGGAGTTAATGCCATTCCACGGATTCTTTGTCCCCCC